GAGGAGCGTCCATCACATGGCTACTAAGTTCATAGCGACTGCTGTAGTTATAGCTGTCTGGATGAATTCAAAATAAAGTTGAAAGAATGCTTCATACGGTATAAAGTAGACTTTCTCACGAGAAGAATCCTTATCACTTGTCCTCTTGGTTGGTAACAATAACAGTCCAAAAAAAGGGGGAAACGATGTTATTTCCTATCCCCAACAAAGCTCATTCGCGCTAGTTATAAAATGTTCCTTGAAAGCTCTAAATTCGGTGAGCATGCGCACTCATTTTGCTACTGTATCATTATATATAGGATATTGTGTCGCAGACTCCTCGGAAACAATGACTTTTGCGTACAACATGAATAAACACATGATTTATAAATGAACAATTAAGTGACTGACTCACCTAATTACTGATTAGACTTAAACAAACTGGCGCCCAATCTACCAGTTGATTGAATGAGTGAGTGAACGAATGAATGGATGGACGGATGAATAAATACATGAATGGATAAACGGATGAATGAATGAAAGGAATGATGGAAGTAAGGACTAATGAACCTATGGATAATTGATGAATGACTGGTTTAAGAGAGCAAAAGATAATACAACTCATTCAGCTTATTCAATCTATTTAGTGACCATGGTTACAGCACTTTGCATTGCTTAGTTCATTCTCGGTTGCAATCAGACCTTTGCATGCCTTTCAGTCAAAGAAAAACCTCAATTTTCACGAGCTAATTTGATTTTAGTTCAAATCAGGAAAATAGAGTATTACTGTAAAGATTCATTTAGTTTGATTGTCCATCTTAACGAAAAAATAATAAGAAATGACTCAATTGCGATCGATATACTTTAAATATGATTGTTCGAGAGACGACAGGAATCTTCTAGATCGATAACGTGGAGAAGTAAAACAAAACCAAAGCTGTTCTTATTTACTATCGACACTCGGTTGGAAATTGCTTTATAATTTTATCAGGTTATAATAACAGAGGACGAAGCTAAGAGACTGTACCCCATATGTTGCTTGTTCCAAAGGCAATCGTCATCGATTCATTTTTAGACTTATGTGGTGGCCAGCGGGAAATAATGTTGCATGTAGCTCACAGGTTGCTTGAATGGTTTGTTGGAGAAATAACACTGAGACGTCCACTGAACAAAAGTTATGACACTGGAATAGGAGAAGGCTCTTCTTCACGAGGAAACCAATGAGTGATCTGGAAAAATACCTCGTGACCAGTTTGGACCAGTCAGAATCAAGGATGGAAAGAAATGGATTTCCATAATGGTTGTGATCACTGGAATGAAAAATAACGTCGCGGGGAAAATAGGAACTATGCAGTGTCCATTGTGACTGATGGTCCATATCAGTCACATGTTAATTTTTCATCCTCTCTCTCACTCTCGTTTGCTGACTCGTGGAAGAAGGCCAACGAACAAGTTTGCTTTTTTCTGGACCCTCACTTAGAACGAGGATGATCTGAAAATGTCTTTGAATTAAAATTTAATCGTTTCAGTCCGATGTAATTGGATCACCAAATCCTTTGAAAAGTTTTGAAGGAAAAATACTATTTAGTTTTTAATTTTTTTAGTTTCAGTGCCGATGGTAGTTAGTAAATGACTCTTACATAGCATCTTTATCGGTTTTTTTGGCAGAAATAAAGGGGATAAGTTTCTAAGTAAATTTTGGTACTGCGTCGCTGGGGCGTATTAAGATAATTTAGCTTTTTTATTTGAGGTGATAATGAAAATTTGGCCATCGTAAGAGTTAATAAAGGTGAAGTTTCGAACGTTACCCCTTCTTGAGAGCGAAACTAGATTTTTTAGATATGTTCACGTAAAGCTCAAAATGGACAAAAGACAATAAAAGGGATTTTTTTAAGGTACACGCGGTGATATCTTGGTTGTACAATCAAGTAGTCTTCTCAAATGATTTCTAAATCGAGGGCATTGTAGACTATATATGATGGGATTCGCACACGAGTTGACAACAACTAAAACCCGGCACACCACTAAACTTAAAACTAACATCTGTTGTCCAAGGACGAGAGTGAACAGCGTTCGGAAATAATACGGAGTCCAGCATATTGTAAACACTGCGCTGATTACGAAGGACACTTTGGTCAGTTTGCATCGGGAATTCATCAGGGCAAGTCTTGGTTTGTGGTTTATTTGACTGTCATACCACAGTTTAAAAACTAGCCTGCCATACAGACAGCAAATGAAGCAGTTAGGTCCTAAAAATAGAATGAGTACTACAACAGCATCATAGATTCGTCCAAGCCGCGCCATGATCTCGTCTTGCACAAAACCACAGTCCACAGTATCCCCAGAGACGTCCAGTTTCTTCAGAAATACGAGAATAGGGCTCACAACAATAAGTGTTATAAACCAAATGATTTGAAGGATTCTTCGATTTCTTTCCATGTCGTGCCTTCGTATTCTAGCACGAGCAGGTTTTAAGACGGCTCCGTATCTTTCCATTGCGATGACTGTCAAAGTATAAACAGAGGCCCCGCAGCTTAAATAGACCACACCGCCCGTGGCCTTACAGTAGAAATCATTGATTACTGTACCAAAAAAATGAAATGCCAAGCTGCAGGTTAAAACTACAATTCCAAGCAGTAGATCTGCTATTGCAAGGTTGAAGAGAAGCAGGTCAGAGAACTGACGGGCCAAAGTTTTCTTCTTCTTCAAGAAAATGATAACCACAAAGGAATTGCCGATGATATTAACCGATAACAACAGCACAAGCGTGTATCGGACGAAGATTAACGAGAAGTAACTGATTTCAGCGTTCATTTTTCAGTCAGATTTCAGCATCGCCTAGTGTTTTTAAAGCGAAAAACCTGATCCTGAATTGATCGAAGAAGAGTGAATTTTCTTTCAAGTTCCAGTGATTTCAAGCTGGCAAAATAATAACTCTTATCAGGGTAGATTGTCACAAGGATACCTTACACTGTCAATGTATTTGTTCACAAAGAATGCCACCATTGTCTTTACTTACGATGATGGGCAACCGTTTTGACCAAGGAAATTTGATCGAGTTTTGATATTTTAAGAGAGTCAGGTAAGAGTAGTTAAAAAAAAAAAAAAAAAAAAAAAAAAAAAAAAAAACATGTCTAGGGATTGTTTTTTTTTAGTCAATTAATCTTCCATTATGATATACTTTGAGCACGAAAATCGACAGTGTGTACTGTCTCTGCTCTCTCTGGATTTTTTAAGTTGGCTTCAGTTGTTCTCGCCTTAATTAACGAGACATTTTTTCTTTGACGAAAAGGGCTGATTTATTTTGATTAATTGGGAAAGTGAGAAGTTAGAGAAAAAACAAGTCTATTGCTAGAAAATTCCCTCTTTTTAGAGAAAGAAAACACATCTGAAAGAAATATTTCCCCGGGAGTCTCAAATTTGATAATATCCGATCATTAATAATTCTCTTACATCTGGCATCGCCAAGGTACATTTAAGAAGCTTTTTTAATTCGAGTTTACATTTTATTTGACATTCGTCATTTCTAATGAAACGTTAATCACGTTATGACAGGAACGTCCCTTTTTTTTCCGTCTTGTAAATAATGAAAACGGTAATTATCAAAGATACGGGCAATTATAATTATCATTTTAGTTCCCAAAGAGCAATTATGAGCAAAAGTGTTAAATTTAATCTATTTTGATCTCCACTTTTCAAATGAAAAATATGAGAAAAAGGGATACTGACTCAGTTCTAGAGTAATTTTAAACTTAAGTATCAGTGACTGCAGTGTTTTGATTTGAAGAAGATAAAACTCTCTTGAAAAAAGGTATTTTCAGTTTGCATCTGCCAAAAATATTCCTCGTATTATATATTCAATAGTCAAATCCGTGATAACAGATAAATAGCGCAAGTGTACGCTGTAGCAAGCTTTTAGCACTGATAAAGGGAAAGAGTTTATGTTCGCGGGCATAAATATGTTTTGGAGCTGACTCAGAACCATTTAAGCCAAGGCCGTTAGGCGAGGGTTAAATTGACCCTGAGAATTAATGCCTCAAAAATCTCAATTTTAGCCCGCAAAAGGCGCCACAGTTCCCAAAAAAGAAATATCAATGTATGTTTTTGTGTCAAGCCTGAATATTTGATTAAGGAGTCAGTCAGAAATTTATGAAGGCGGGTATTTTTCAAGGTTCCAGCGACAGAGAGTGACATAAAAGGGAAATAAAAATCAATTATCTAATATCGTTGAACTAATGTGCACCTTGATATCCGGATTTTTTTTTAAATCTCTCCATATCAAAATAGCCGTTAAAAGGAAATATAATTATTCGTAGGGAGATGTAGAATTTTTTTTATGAGTCGAGGTATCAAGAAATCACTGATTGATACCTTGAAGGTGAAACTTTTAGGATTTGACGTCAGTTCCGCTATACTTCAAACGGCAATGGTCTGAAACTCTAGTTCCATATCGAGCAAAAAAATAGGCCGCTGACAGTCTTTATATTAGTTTCATATTTCACGTCTAGAATTCCTTTAATACGTAACCGTTCCAATGAATGGCCAGCATTTTTAACCTGGCCAAGTGCAGTTCCTTTTCGCTCAAAACCAACCCAAAAGCAAGAATTTTATACTCGCCCTTTCGCATATCCTGCGCTAAAAAATTAATATCCTCATTTATTTTGTCTATTTTGTAATTAAGGTACTATTAGAAAATCGTAAAAACAGAAAACGCCCAAACCGCAATTACGATGTCATTGATAAATGGAAAATGGAAACCTTAAACAGGGTTGAATGGTAGTAAATTACCCACGAGATCTATGTTCCTTGATTTTTTGATAATTTTCGATGCATTCCTGGAGGAATTATCAGGATTTTGTCTGCTCCTGGAGTGGCCTTTTCCCTCTTTGTATAAATACATTACTGCAAAAATGGATGAGATGAAACCAGAATGATTACCATAAAGGCGAGAGAAGTCTGGGACCAAATATTTTGTTTAACTGACCGAGGGAGATTGAGTCTAGCCGCTCCTTCGTTCAAAATGGCTTCCAATCTTCAGGTAAGTAGCGAGTGAATCTCTTAAATTTCACTCAAAATCACGAAATGTAGGAGGGCTGTGACCTAAGATCCTACTCGTTAAAATACATGGGAAATTTTGCTGAGGTGATACGACGAGAAAAATGTGAGTTTTGTGTTTTTGGTTATTGGGCATTGTTAGCATAATCGAGAGAGGCATTTTAATAAATCAATGTACATGTAGATGTTTTGTTTCCTAAAATACTTTTCTTTTAAGCAATGCCCTAAATCACTCGCAAATTTTCAGCAGAATGTTGCTAGGGGTAGATGATTTCTAGTAAAGAAAATGAATGTTTCAATTTATGGTATCTTGTTGATTAGCTGCACTAAATTTAGAAAATTTTCATGTCTTGTTTACGATTTAAACCAAGTGCTACATGCCGAGCTTGGCTTTGTTATGCTTTAAACGCCCGAGAGCCCTGCTAGAATTTTTTTGTTTCTGCTCCAGAATTTCTAAATAGCCAACGTACCTGTTCCAGATGTTGATGCACATGCACTTCTTCCTGAGGAGAAGCGAAGCGAGAAAGATGAAGCTGAAGCTGATGGCAAAAAGGACAAACTTCCTGTAACTGCATCATCAGAGATTATTTCAGGCTTCTCCAACAGAAAATTAGTCCACTGTACAACCTTCATCCAGGCGTAGAATTCAATATTGTATCAACAATTACAGTGTGATCATGGCAAACAATAGCAACAACAGTATGGGTACAATACTACCATCCACAGCACCTTTAACCAGTGAAGAGAGTGGTTTGGTCTTTGTAGTTCTGTCTTGTCTTTGTGCAAGCCTGTGGTTGGTCTACATCACTTTCTATCATTCACGTGTTATGGGCTTCTTGCTTACCAAGCTGATCAATTTCAAGTATATGAAGGATGGACAATACTTTAATATTGGTGAGTTTGTAAATGGACATGTCTCCATTTCTTCAAATTTACAAACATGCGTCCTATTTTTATGGCTACTTTCTTACCTTGATTTTTTTTGTAAGTTGCTAGGATATGTTAAATCAAGTCTGACATTTTTCACTGTACCTGATCCTTGCTTAATAAATTTTTACCTTGGGGGGTAAGTCTTACCCAGGAGTTTAAATGGCAACTAACAAGCAGTTAGAGTAGCCCATTGAAATTCAGAGGTCATCGACAATGGACTAGCCTCCCTTGCAGGAGGCTCGGTGGCATTTATTCTTCCAAAGAATGTTTTACCTCCCCTAACTAGGTGGTCAACAGCTCTTCACTCAACATAAAAATAAAGTCTTTTAATTCAACTGTGTTAAGTAAATTGAAAGTCCCCCTTTCTCCCTAACCAGTGTTGTGACAAATTAGTGACTATGTTGTTCACACTGGGTAACATTGCAATGGGTTAGAGGGGGAAATAGATGAAAGTTATAGAAATATTCAAGAGGTACATGTAGTGAAGTGTGTCAAGACTTTTGCCACACACTGTTGTTACTTCATGCAATGGAAATGGAGATGAGGTCTGAGTGGGCCATTTGGCGTAAGTACAGAGTTGAAAGTATTTTTATAGATTTTACTTCCCAATATTCAGGGCTGTTGACAGATGTTCTCTAGAAGTTATAGAGTCTAGCCAAGAATGTACCACTGACAATAACCCTTGCCAGACTTTGAACCCAGACCTTTCAGTTCAGATGAATAAAGGCTGATAGTTTCTAAAGAAACTGTATGGGGCTGCGTCACTTGGGGTAACGAAATAATTTGAATAATTTATATCAACAAAGTTGAAATAGTAAATTGGCCACTGTTACGATTATAAAAGCTGACGTTTCGAGCGTAAGCCCTTCGTCGGAGCAAATAGGGGAATTGTGGGTTGTGTGTGCTTTTAAAGGCAGAAAAAGGAACTACGTGATTGGTGGGAACATAGCAATGAGAAAAACACGATTAAATTTCAGTTCAGAGGTTCAGAGGTTGGCATATCAATCAATAGGCCAGTTCATCTCCAAAAAGGCTCAGTTTATTTTAATTGTTTTTAACACATCTTTTCTGAAGAGTTTAAGATTTTCTTAATCTGTTTTGTATCTCCAGGATCATTTTCCTTTTCAATATTGTGGGGGAAGATCATGTTCAGAGATGTTGTGTACATAACTGAAGATCTCAGTTTTAGGTTCGTTAAACACTTGTCTTTATTAGAAAGTACAGCTATGTTTTCAGAAACATTGATTATTGTTTCAGTTGATGCAGTAAACCTTTCATTACAAGCATGATGGTAAAATTCTTTTTGTTATTTATAATTCTTTATAATGAATGGTTTGATTTTTTCTTGTTTGAAAGCCTATTTTGTAGTTTGATTGTTTGTATGTGATTGGTCATGAGGAAGACTGTTGTTGTTGACAGTGCATGGCTCGACACTAACTTTTCAACTTACTAGCCAAGTGGCTAGTAACATCTTAGATGTTACGACAATTTCAGTTTGTTTACTAGCTTGCTTACTAGCCAAGTGGCTAGTGACATCTTAGATGTTATGACATGTTCAGTTTGTTTACTAGCTGCTTACTAGCCAAGTGGCTAGTGAGATCTTAGATGTTATGACAATTTCAGTTTGTTTACTAGCTTGCTTACTAGCCAAGTGGCTTGTGACATCTTAGATGTTAGGACAATTTCAGTTTGTTTACTAGCTTGCTTACTAGCCAAGTGGCTAGTGACATCTTAGATGTTATGACAATTTCAGTTTGTTTACTAGCTTGCTTACTAGCCAAGTGGCTAGTGACATCTTAGATGTTACGACAATTTCAGTTTGTTTACTAGCTTGCTTACTAGCCAAGTGGCTAGTGACATCTTAGATGTTATGACAATTTCAGTTCGTTTACTATAGCCAAACTGGCCTGTGGAAATAAAAAACCACTGGCCAAAACTGAATTTCTACTAGTCTGTGGCTAGTGGGCTACCATTAGTGTCGAGCCCTGCAGTGACCAATGTTTTGACTTACCGTGCATGGTCGTAATTGGAGTGTAATCTTTGATTAAAATAAAGGTATTTGAGTCTTACCCAAGGACCCTGATTACCCAAGAAATATTGTAGGACTAGTAAATTTAAAAAGGTTTATTTTATAATGATCATAATGCAGTGTCTAATTAAGAGCGTGCCATTGTGGGATTGGTGCTGTTTGAGCAAAAAATGTCCCCTTCAAATTCGTTGCCTAAGTCATTTTGGCACACTTCCATTTTTTGTGGATGCAAGGAATTTGATTTCTCCTTGTTCAAAATCTTGAAAGCAATATCCTGTTTAAAATTTGGGGAGAATGCAAAAACAAGAACCCAAATGAGGAGAACCCTATTCGAGTCCCACATAAACAAAATGGCCGTTGTATTCCAGGTCCCTGGATACTAGTATAAATAATTGCTATAGGGGGTTTAATTAATTGAAACCCACATGCTTGTGAGGTGGTGACTGATCTAGCTGAATGAGGTCATGTCAAAACAATGAAAGATTTCAGCATTTTTTGGCCGAGGTCAACCAGAAAACAATGCTGAAAATGCAGAAACCGATGAAGCTGAGCTTGGAAAAGATCAGGGGAGTGAACCGATAGCTTAAGTTGCAAAGCAAAACTTTCAAGATACCTGGCTTGAAAAATTCAAATGGTTGAAGTACGATGCACTGAAGGGTATGTTCTATTCGTGTTGCCAACAATCAGGTAAATCCAGTCCTTTCACCAGTGGTTACATAAACTATAGGACTTCAACACTAGTTCACCATATCGAAAGTCAAGACCACCAAAATGCTCTTCAAGAGATCAAAATGGCCCAATCTTTTCAAGAAGCTGTGATGAATTCTGTTTCATCCCAGGAGCAAGCTGTAGTAAGTGGAATGAGAACTGTTTACTGGCTTGCTGAGGAACATAATTATTGCTACTGAGAAATATAACTCTTTGATGAATCTCTTAAAACTGCAAGGATGCAACGACATTGAAAATGTTAATGTAGTGAAAAATGCCTCCTACAATTCAGTTCAAACTGCTAATGACTTCCGGTCAGTCATTGCAGAATGCATTCAAGATGAAATAACTGATTAAAGCTACACAAGTCTCCATTTGTAAGCATTATGGCAGGTTAGAGTACTGACATTGCTGTTTCAAAGAAACTGTTAATTTATGCCAAATTGATATCTGATGGTATTGTCCCACAGACACATTTTCTCACAAACATTACCATTGAAGAGGAACAGTGTACAGCACCTGTTGTGACTCAGAAAATACAAAATGTTATTGCTGCCCATTCCATTCTTGTTGATAATTAAAGTGAGTTGTGGAAGTGATGGGGCATCCATCATGACAGGTAAAGTTGGGGGAGTGAGTACACTTCTCAAGAAAGAGAACCCATTTATGATATATTCATTGTATGGCTCACCATTTGGCATTGTGTACTAGCCAAGCTGCCAATCAAGGAGAAAAAATGGAGAAGTACAGACAATTGTTAATAGATCTGTACTATTACTTCTCTAAATCTGCAGAATGTGTTACTGGGCTAAAGGCTATTCAAGAAATACTAGAGAGCCCAAAGTTGAAGATAAAGGAGATGCATTCAGTTCAGTGGTTTGCTTTCTATAGTGCCCCAGAAACTGTGAATCGGTCATGGGATGCCCTTGTAACATATTTTTCTTACCACAAGAATGATGCAAAGGCAGTAGGTTTTCTCAAGATATTAACTCAGGTTGAGAATGTGGCAACAATGTATTACCTTATGGATATTATTAAAAACTGGATCATTGGATAATGCAATTCAAGACTTTTTATTGGCTTAGCCATTATGGTATATAAGCCAATATACCATAATCTAATATCTGTACATAATTATTTTTGTAACATCCAGTTTTTTCTTACAAAATAAAGTCGAGAAGATTTGTCTCATATCTTGGGGGCGCTTTTTTTTTTAATAAAACAATTATTCTACTCACGCTTGTTGGATATGAGATGATTATAGCCAATTTGGCGCTATGCGCCTTGTTGGCCAATGTGCCTCGTGGCCAACGCGTGCTCTTGGAATAATTGTTTATTATTCCCTGGAGCGGGTAACACAGCTAAACAGCCTATTTCAGAAAGAGGATCTAGATGTTTCAATCATCCAGGCATGCATTTCCACCACCCTCAGTGAAATTGCCAAAGTGAAGGAGAGAAGTGGCTACTATACAAAGAAACTCAATGAATCCTTGAAACAGGATGAGTCTGGGAAGAGGCATATGGGTGCCAGTGGCCATGAAATTTCATATTCGGAAACTCAAAAAGCTCAGGCTATCAAAAACAGAGGATGCTTTTATTGACAATCTCACTGAGCAGATAAGTGCTAGATTTCCTCAGGAATCCCAGGATCTTGTTGATGCATTTGCAATCTTAAGTCTGAGAGGAGTGTATTTCATGACAACTGAAGACCTTTCGAATTATGGAAATAAAAAGTTACTGAAACTGTTGAATCACTATGGATCAGACAAGGCAAATGTGGTCAGTGGAAGAGTAATTCCTGCTGTAGTTGATCCGTATGAAAACCAAGATGGAATGGTCTTTATTAAAGGATTGTTGTCAAGGAGCAGCAGTACCCAACTGACAAGTTATCCATGCCGTGGAGTTGTATTTTCAAGTTTCATCCAGACACTTTTCCAAATTTGCTGAAGTTGGTACAGCTGGCCCTCACTCTTCCACTACAAACAGCTGATGTTGAGAGAGGATTTAGTGCTCAAAACTTAACTAAAACTGCCCACAGAAATCAAATGGAGGAAAACACACTTGACAATCTCATGACAATTAGTGTAGAGGGGCCTGCAGTTGAGAGTTTTGACTTTAACAGAGCTGTCCTTTCATAGAAAAGAAGAAAGGAAAGGAGAATTTTCAAGAAATGAGCTTTAAACTTGTTACTGTAAGGGTAGCAGCTCATCCACCCTAAACCTTTTGAAGTCGTAAAGCAATTTTCTCCTCCATTGAAGCAGTAAAACTGTTAAGCTTTGCTTTGACTTCGTCCAAATTAAAAACCAACATAACTTTAGGCTGTTCTTTTCTAGAAAAGAAATACAAAAATTCTGTTTCATCTGGTTTCTGTTCATTGTTGAGACAGTTTAACTCAAGGCTGTGTATATACTGGAAACCCACAGATACTGATGCAGTAATCTTTCCCTGTCTTTTAAACAAAAGCTGTAAACTTTCTTTTAATATTCAAAGAGTGGAAGAATGCTGTAACACATAGAAGAACAGGCAGCTCACAATGATTGTTTGTTATATTACTTTCTATTCCATTTCTAAGATGAAAGTGAAAAAAATGATCATTGAAGCAAGGCAAATACATTTGTTAAACGAATAAACTTGCTCTTCTCTATAAACAGACTTTAATTAAGTTGTGCATTTGTTTTGATGATAACAATACTGTACAAAAGTGATTCTATACCCAGATTTGTTGTTCATATTAAATAGAATACAAATTTAGTGTCCCTTAAAAAACTGAAATGTCCCCTGAAAATTGTTGACTGGGACACATTGTCCCCTTTGATGGAAATCTTAGATCAGACACTGATAATGGTGATTTTGTTCATAGGGTTATTGATGGTATTGCAATCTTTAAGTATTGGATTCCATACAAACCAGAGCTGTCAAGGAAGTCACCTTACCAGCATGAACCATCAGAAATAGGTCTGTGAATTATTATTAATAGAGGTTTATAATAATTGTAAAATTGTTGGTGGCTAGTCATTGTGGTAAATAACACTTCAAAAGAGAAATATGATTTTTTGTCTCATGATGCGGTCACTTCAGATGTGGATCGCAATGTTTCAACTGCGTACTGCTAGTCTTCTTGGGGCAATGAGGGTGGTCAAGTATACGTCACCTATATGCTGTTGTGCTCAGCTATGATATGGATGGAATTCCATGACTGTGATTGGTTTATCTTTGGATTAGACACATTGTCTATCTTGATGTAAACATCGGAACCATAGGGATTTATATGATTGTGCATTCTTTTAATGGCCGTGCAGCTCAGAGAAATGATGTTAATAATTGATAGGTTTGACAGGTTTACTCCTTCAAACCAGCTAAAGAAAATCATTTTCAAAATTTACACTCTTGAAGTACCTCTTTTAAAGAAACTGTTTTTCTTTTTTGTCTAATCAATTGACCATGCATTTGTAGTATAATTCTTTTTCAGTCTGTTATATGAAGTGAATCAGAATTTTTTTCTTTACATGGAATGACAGATCATTGCCTTTTTCCCCTCCAGCTACCATTGGGTTATAACCATTAAGTTCTATCATGCCGTTTTCTTAAACCCAGGGTACATATAGTTATTATCCAACGACATTCTGTGGAGTACAAATATCACATGGTATTCGTACTCCATAGAACTTGTTTAAGACAGGTTTTCAAGCATCACACAAGCGACAAATTGGATTAAAGGTAGAAAAAAAATGGCGGGCAATTTAAATCATTTTTCTGACGACGAAAAGTTGGAATGGCTGGTGAATATTGATCCAAGTTTATTAGATAAATCGAATGAAGAAAAGCAGTTAGGCGACAATGAAATTTCATCATTTATTGAAGAAAATAGAAACAGCAACACGACAACGCGCCAATTCCATTCTGCTTTGCATACTTCTGTCATGCACTCCCCATAAATAGATATCCTCGAAATTCTCCCACACTGAAATCACAATTTGGCATGTTAGATAATAAATAACTTGTTATTTGAATTTTGACCCTTCCCATAGGCATGTCGAAATATGGTGCAACTCTTAAAAATACTCAGCGATACTACCCAACAAAACGTCTAATAAGATATAACAGCTTTATTGTAATTATTTTAGGAAACTTATATATAATTTGTATGATGAATACAAAGTATAGATCAATATCATTTTCAAAGGAAACATGGAGAGGCATGAGTGTAAATTAACCCTTGACACCCTAAGATCAGCATGCATACTCTCCACACTGTTCTCTGTGTATTTTCAATGGTATCAACAAGGAGAATTTG